TGACGTGACATGTTCGTACGAACCCTTTGTACGAACAAAAGTAAGAGAAATTTAGGATAAGAATACGAACATGTTCTTGCATGAGGCCCAATCTGAGCAATTCCAATTCAATTCCTGCTGGCACAAGATTTATCCCATAATTTTCTCCGTGTGAACATGCAGTAAGGCTTGCAGCCCAGAGACAGAGCTTGTTTTAGGACGTGTCGACCTACTGGGTAAGGCCAGAAGGCTAACGTAGCTCTGCAGCTTCTCAAACACAGATGTTACTTTCTTCATGTCACTCTGTAACTCCTGGTTTTTTGCCGTCAGGGCAGCTGTGCAAAGAGGCGCCTCYCACTCCTCATCCAGGCTGAAAACAGAAGAGGACAGCCTTTAGTACAGCCTCAACCTCCACTCCACCRTTCTCTGTTCTGTTTCCCGAGCACAGCGCTGACCTTTTCAGCTGGTAGGGGAGGATCTTCTGCAGAAAGTGGGTGTACGAGGAGAAATTCTCAGCGAAAGTCTTCAACGTGACAACGGTCTCCTTCAATTCAGCACAAGTAAAAAAAAAAAAAAAAAAAAAAAAAAAATTTAGTTTTAAAAAAAAAAAGCTTTTAAACACACTGTCCAGAACTGACCAGTACTGTGACCGTGTCTTCTGTGATGCTTTGGTAAAACTGCAGAAAGCTGTCCTCCAGGGGGCGCACATAGGCAGCGTTCTCATGCAGATACTGAGAAAACTAAGAGATGAGAGAGTTGCACATTTTAGTTAGAAGGATCACTCTTTGAATCAACATCTGGATGTTTCATCGTAGCCCCCTGACCTTCTGGTTTAGAGGAGAGATGGGTTCAATGGAGGAGTCCAGGGGGTAGATGTGGACCCTCTGCTCTGTGTARGTGTGGAAGTTCAGCAGAGCTGCCACCAAGTCCTGGATGAAGCTCAGGGCCTGGCTGCTGACGTCCCGGGCCTTAAGCTGAACCCACACAAACACACTGTTTATTTTTTCAGTTAAGAATGAATTTATGGCACAACATTAGGCATTTATCAGTAAAYGAACACTACTGTTAGTAGATTACTMCTTAAAGGGATCCACGTTTAGTTACATTAGACTTTATTTGATAAAAGTTTGTTTTAACTGTAAAATAAAGACTGTAAAAATACTGTAGGCTGTTTAGTTTTTATAATTTTTTAACTAAATTTTTAAAAATATATTATACAGATGGGGCCATTTTAATTCACACAAAGCATTCTGGGTAAATGACAACGTGGATAGGTCCTCGGTGCGAGGCTGCTAGCGAGCTATATCCACCCTGAAGGTTAATCTTGGACAATATCTGATGATCGACTCTTTTAAATGAAACCAGAGAGCGTTGACAGAGAGGAGAAGGTAGAAATGACTCAGCCTGCAACAGAAAATATGGATGGAGGACCTCAGTTTAGCTTGTTTGTCGCGCTAACGCCGAGCTAATACATATAAGGCAATATAGAGTGAGGGCTAGCGCAAAGGCTAACAGGCTAAGCTGAGGTTCTTCTTCCATGAAGCAGCTCTGTTGTCCTTCATCCACATTTTCAGTTCCAGGCTGAGTCATTTCTACCTTCTCCTCTCTGTCAACGCTCTCTGGTTTCATTTAAAAGAGTCGATCATCAGATATTGTCCAAGATTAACCTTCAGGGTGGATATAGCTCGCTCACACCGAGGACCTATCCATGTCATCATTTACCCAGATTTCTTTGTGTATAAATACAATGGCTGAGTCCGTGTTAAAAAATATTTTTAAAAAATTTACAAAACTAAACAGCCTACAGCATTTTAACAGTCTTAATTTTACAGTTAAAATAAATGTTTATCAAATAAAGTCTAATGTTACAACTAATCATGGATCCCTTTAAAGGACAAGGATTCAAGGATTTCTTGAAGGAATGRATHTCACCCACAGAGATTWAATTTAAGTGAAATCTACCTAGTGGTTCATGAGATAAACAAACAAACAGAAATGAGCTGTAAATCTAAAACAAAAAGGTTTCAAAGAGGACGTAAAGCACTTTTGTTTCTCACCAACCTGATGCCTTCGATTGTGTGACGGCACATTTAGACTGTTGTATTCACTAAACTCTGCAAAGCAGGAGAGAAAGGCACTAAAATTACCTCACAGTCCCAACTACATTACAACAAACACAAGCGTTACACAAAACTCACTCCAACACATGCATGTTGCTGTATCAGTGACAAAACGTAACCGATCGGGTCGTCGGCTCAGAGGCAGATTAGTTTGTCCTGGTGGCTCTGGGCCAGTTTTACTCACTGGTGTCGTTGAAGGGGACTTTCTCCTGGATTACGCTGCTGCTTTGCTTCATCTGCCTCCTCAGCTCTGACTGGCACCGATTCAGCTGCTGCTGACTGCAAACACACCGAAACAAGCTTCGTTACAAACGATTCAGTCGCTCTAAAACTGTGAAGACGCAGGCGTACCACTGTTCTGTTCGCATCCTACACTCCTTCGCTTCCCTCTCCAGTGTTTGGACTTTCACCTGTTAAAGACAGAAAACGCACAGTTTTAGTCAAACGTTATTTAAAAAAAAAAAAAGAAGTGTTTTCTCTTAAAAGATCTTGACCTCCAAACGTGCTTTGTCGCTCTGCAGCCGCTCGTTTGTTTCCACGTACTTCGTGGTGAGACCGTCCACAACAGCCTGGTGCTGCTCGGTGTCCCGCTCCAGCTCTTCCAGTCGGGCCCTCAGCTCCGCCTCCCTCCTTTTGTGCTGCTCGTCTGCTTCGTAGAACTGACAGATGTATGGAAAAGCGAGGATCGCATGCATGACCTCACTGTAATTCTCAATAAATAAAAATGCAGCTGCCTACTTGTATATGTAATCGCTCATTTTCTTCTATTTTTTTCTGCAGGTCCTCGTTAAATACACTTTGGGTCTGAAGGTTGTGATGATGTGAAGGAGAGTCTCCTTTATTCTGCAACAAGAACAGAGGCTGTTTATGTTTCAGCTCTGGAAACTTGCCATGTTTGTAAAATGAATGTTCATTCCTAAGTGCATTTTTATGACCATTAAAAAGGCAAACAGCCTTTTCCCCTCATCCCCCACCCTCGTGATCACCTTCCCCTTTTTGCCCCTGGCTTCACTTGCAGCGAGCTCCTCTTGAAGCAGCTCCACCCTCTTGGCGAGCTGCTGGTTCCTGAAACTGAGGCTGTCCATCTCTTGTTCCTGCTTTCTCAAGCTCTGGTCCCTTTGCTTCAGCTGGTCCTAATGTGCGGATTGAATCAAATAAAAAGTATTATTTACAAGAAATCTGCAACTGGTTTGGGTTAACTATTACTACTTATGACTCCCTGTAACACTTTAATCATTACATTGCAAACAAAACTGTCATTAAAATTGTTATGTTTGTGTGTAATTTACTTTTAGAGCAGTAGAGTTGGCCTGTTCATCTACAACAGCCTTCTTCAGTACCTGGTTTTGGGCACGGAGCTGTAAAAACACAAATACAAACACAGAAAAGCCTGTTTTAAGACTTTAAACTGAATACAAAATATCTCTATTCTTCACTAATCCTTTGTAGATTTTTAGCAGTTTTGTACACAGTGAAGAGTCACCAACTGTTCCAAAACTCAACGATGCTCACTGCAAAGGAAATGCTTTTTAAAATGATCATTATTAGGTAACAAAAGCACAATAAAATCACATGTGAGGCGGTTACATAGTCAGCACTTCCTGTGCAGCTTAATGCAGAAATCAGAGCTGAACAGGAAATAGCAGCTCCTGTGATGTCAGTTAACAGAAACACAAAGAGCATGAACATGGTTCCACAGAAAACACTGGTTTTAAAGTGCTTGTGACATGCTTTTTCTTCAGTTACAAAAAAATTAAAGAAAATATCCTAATATTTAAGAAATTTGGCATCTTTCATAAGATTTCTATCCAGTTTGTCACAAAACGTGGATATTTTTTTTWKRWAAKRTMG